TGCCATCAAGTCAGTCCTGACTCACAGTGACCCTTGTCTAGGGTTTCTGAGGAGCAGTGGTGTTAAGGAACTACAAACCAAAATCACAATGAGATACCACTTTACCCCCGTTGTTAGTGTTCAGTGCCATGGCTATTTAGGGTTTCTAGAAGCAGATGGTGTGTTTGAACCGCCAACCTTTTGTCTAGTAACCCAGTACTTATCCTACAGCACCACACCAGGAATAGAATGGCTGGTATCAGAAAGATACAAAATAGCATTAAATATTAGTAGATATTAATCTCAACTAGACTTCAGGATAAAGAAAATGACAACACATATAATGATAACAGGACTAACCCTCAAAGAAGACCTAGCACTCTTTGAATAAACATAAATGTATTAACTTAAAATAAAAATTAAAAAATCCCCAAATAACAATACTATAAAATCTGTTAAGCATAAACTGTAAGGACAGATAAATCAGCAAGTATAGTTTGAGACCCTCTCTCAACAACTGCACCATCAACCAATGGTATCTGACATTCATCCAACCCACACTGTAGTAGAATACACATTTTTTTTAAGTACCTACAGAGCATATACCTACACAGACCACACTGTGCATAATAAAACAAAATACTAATTTAGAAAAATTTAAATCACAGAGTATGTTCTCCAACCAGAGTGGAATAAAATCAGACAACAGAAAGATAACAGGAAAATCTCCAAACACTTGGAAACTAAACATACTTCTAAATAATTCATAAACAAGTTGCATGAAAAATAAAAATATATACTGAACGAAATGAAAATATATAAAAAAAAAATTGTGAGAGATAGCTAAAGTACTCCTGAGAGGAATTTATAACATAAATGCATACAATACAAGAGAGAAAAAAGCTCAAATCAGTAAAATCAAGCCTCTGTCTGAAGAACCTAGAAAAAGAACAGAAAACTAAACCCAAAGCAAGCAGAAAGAAGAAAATAATGAAGAAATGGAAGGCTTAAAACAAAAATAGAGAAAAATCAATATAACAAAGAGCTAGTTCTTGGCGGGGTGAGAGAGAAATTAATAAAACTGGCATAGCTTTGGCAAAACAAAGAAAAAGAGATGATCAGGAATAAAATGCACTACAGGTGTGGAAAGGATGAGTGGATACTACAAACATATAAATCTGACCAGTAAGACAGACTAGACAATCCTCCCCTGAAAAATAAAACTACCATAACTCACCCAAACAGGAAACAGATCATTTGAATTTGTAAATTGGAAATTAAAATCTTCAAAAGAAAAATCTCCAGGCCCAGATGTAAATTCTAGGTGTTTTGTTGTTTTTTCCCCAACCAATTAACACCAATTCTACATAATCTGTTACAGAAAATAGAAGAATACAACAGTTTCCTACTGAGACAAACATTCCTCATGAATATGGATATAAACATTCATTAAAAAAATTATTCAGCAAATAGATTTTGGTAATACAAAAAAAGACTATACACTATGACCAACTGGAGTTTGTTCCACGAATACAGGCTAGTTCAATGTCTGAAAAGCAGTGGCATGAAATCACCACATTAACAGGCTAAAAGAGGAAAAAAAATTTTAAAAATCACATAACTATATCAACTGATAGAAAGCATGTGACAAACGTCAACACTCATTCATGATAAAAACTTAAAGAAAAACAGGAAAAAGAGAGAACGTTCTCAACATGATAAAGTACATCTACAACAAAGAATCTCCAGCTAACATTTATTTAATGATGAAAAACAATGCTTTTCCCCAAATATCAGGAACGTGGCAAGAAAAGAAAGTTCACTTTCACCACTTTTATTCAACATGATGTGGGGCTGTAGGGATAAGCACTGGCCTGCTAGCTTCAAGGTCACAGTTCAAATCCATCAGCTGCTTCCTCAAAACTGACTCGATGGCACTTAACAAATTTAACAACAATTCAACATACTGTTAGAAATTCTAGACAGTCCAATATGGCAAGAAAGGAATAAAGAACAGAAGATCAGAAAGAAAGACATAAAACTATCCCTACTTGCAGAAGACATGATTTACATAGGAAGTCCTAAGAAATCTTAGATAAAAAACCAACAGAGTGAGCTCAGCACAACAGCAGACTACAAGATACAAAAATCAATTAGCAATCAGCAAGTGGGTATTGAAAATAAATATATACAACTTATAATCAGTCAAAAATGAATTAAGTACTTTGATACTAAAATGCCAAAACATGTACTGAACTTACTGCTGAAAACTGATGAAAGAAATCAGAGATCTAATTATCTTAAAAAATAGACCAGGATACCCATTCTTTCCAAACTGACTAGCCATTTACCATAATATCAAAACCTCAGAATTTATACAAATAGACATAAAATTATTCTAAAGTTTATGAAAATTAAGGGAATTAGAATATCAAAATTAATACTGGAAAAAAAAAGTGAGAGGAATAAGTCTGCTCCAACTCAATACATTACACACCTACAGTATGATTGCAGAGGGGGTAGACACATGTCAAGCAAAAACTGATAAACTGACTTAATTAAAATGTAAAACTTAGGCTCAGCAAAAGACCCTGTGTAACTTCTTGCAAGAAAGACTAACACAAAAATTACAAAACAATAACAGCAGTCTGACTGACTACTACAAGAACAAGCAAGTTGCTCACCCAGGAGACATCAAAGCAAGTGGTCAGGTCCCCTGAGGGCAAACCCCCTTCCAAGACTAAGACTCAGTGGGAATACATGAGCAGACACGTACTCTGACTGGTGACCACATTGGTCAGCGATAAAGGGAAGTGAGGGAAAAACAGCAATGAAGCTGCGAGCTAAGTTCAACCATGTTCAATACACTCCTGTGAACCCGGATGAAGACCTGGTTAGCCAGCAGTGTGGCAAGACCTGGGGACTCCTGAGCCCAGAGTTAGTGACATAGTTACAGAGGACTAGAGTGGAGAATAAAGCGCCCAGCTGATAAAAAGAGAGGGCATGTGCACAAGAACACCCACACTTGTAGATAATACCCACTTGACCTGGCTTCAATGGCTGGATGATCAGAGCTCAACTACAAGCAGAAAGAACAGGAAATAAACAGTAATCTGATACAATTTGATGAACTTGACCTACACCTATGGATGCAGTAGCTCAAAAAAGGGAACAAATCTTTACAGCGAGGATCATTCCCAACCCCTGTATACACAGAATAGACAGGGATGGGCAACTTGGACATTGGCTGCTCAAAAAGGGGGGTGGGGAATGGGCTACAAAGGCAAGAAGTGACTGACTTACAAGCTTTCAAGAGGAAGCCTAGATCCAGAGGGTGCAGAGGAAGGTAGAATCTCCACTGAGTAGTATCTAATCTGTCTGGGAGGTACTGATGAAAGGAGATGGGGATAGCACTCATGTAGTACAATAGTGAATAATGATGATCAGGACTGACAGTGAGGGTTGGAAATGTAAAGGTGGACATTTTGTACCAAAATGAGGGGGAGTGGTTGACTTTGCAGTCCAGGAGCGGAGGTCCCTGGACTGAGCAGCAGAGTGCAGGACCCCACCCAGGCAAACAGTGATGCCAGAGATGGAGGCAGAGGCAGTGACATGGAGAGATGGAATGGCTGGGAGGGAGAGGGGCTGTGTGCTGACGACCAGGGGACAGGCTTGCAGGGTGTAGTACCCTTTGGTTGGTTGATGATTCATGGAGGGGATTGTAACCATGGAAATGTTAACGGTATACGATAGGATGAATGTAAAGCTAATATTCTCCCATGTAAACTATCACATAATTCACAATAAAACAGTTTTATTTAAAAAGACCCTGTGTAAAGAGAGAAAAAAGGTGAACTAGGTTGGGAAAAAATATTTACAAACTACCTATCTGATTATGGTGGTCTCCAGTGTTCAGGAAGGGTGGAATGACAGAGAAGTGGGTATGGCTAAAAAATTACAACAAGGGGAATCCCTATGGCAATGGAAATGTTCTCTATCTTAATTGCTATCAATGTGGTTGTGATACTGGACTATATTTTTGCAAAATGCAAAAAATATTTCCCACTGGGGAAAATGGGTCAAGGATAAAAGCGCAATCATAACCAGTTATACCACATTATTTCATATATGTGGAATATCTAAGGCTCAACCACATTTATTAACTATGATATTTTAATTATGATATTATGATACTAATTTTCACTTTAAATATAAATGCCTTAATAGAAGGCAGTAGCATTCCCAGCACTACTGGCAAATGTCAAATACTTACATCTTCAAACAAAATAGTCCCCAGTGTGCTGCAGTGATGACCCGCCACTAAAATCTCAACCCTCAAGTTCAGTTCAGCCATATTTATGCTGTCCTGGCAAAAAGCCTGGATTTTCTTAATCAACAGACAAAGTATTAAGAAACCAATAAATAATTAATATGCACCTTCTACTTGCCAAACACTGTTCTAAAAGTTTCCCTCTATCTTCTCATCTGACACTCAAACTATATGATTTTGTTGTTGTTGTTGTTAAGTGCTGTCGTGTCGATTCCAACTCATAGCAACCCTATACAGTGTTTCCAAGGAGCAGCTGGTGGGTGTGAACTGCTGACCTTGAGGTTCACAGTCCAGTGCGAATTCTACAGCACCACCCCAGAAGTCCATATATTCTTTCAAAAGATAAATATTAGCAGTTCACTTAGCCACTGTGATAAATTCAACTGAACTAACTCCACATCATCCACTGTAACCTTTGTACTACTTAGCCTTCCAAGTTCTAACTCACTGATAATATTTATTTGGAGTAAACCACTTTTCTCATATCTTCCACAATGTGCAGTCACAGCTTCCAACTTTTTCAAAAGTTATTTTAAGCTTAGAGCAAGAAGAAATATTCAGACACAGCCGGTTCCAAAAGGCCCCCCCGCTATAGTGCATGCAATTTGGTTTTAAATTATCTATTTATCATTCTTACTTTTAAATGTTGTGAAATTTACTACAATATTTTGGGGAAAAACTATGTTCTTACAAATGATTTGTTCATGGCACGCTTCACTTCATCAGAACCATCTGAATAGATCTGCTGAAACAATTTGTTTAAAGCTGCATCTCCCTCCAACTTCTCATTTTTTTCTTCTTCTTTGATTTCGCCAACCAATTTATCCCAGTTTCTTGTATAATGAGATGATGATGGATATGAATTCTTTACATCTATGACATAAGAAGGCAAAAATTATTAATCAACATACTTGATCATGTCAAGAATACATAAACTTTATGACCATGGTGTATAGAGCATCTTAGCAAATACTGACTTTTCATGGTGGTAAAAATGTCTTTCTAGTATCATTAATAACTAGTGAAAATGGCATCAGTTAGTTAGCATAATATAAAATCTAGGAACTATTTCTAAGCAAAAAAAAAAAAAAATCTCAATGAAGGATAAACTCATGGCACATACAAAACTAATGACAGATTCGTACATAAATAAAAGGGGGAAGGGTGAGAGGTATAAGGGAACCTGAAATTTACATAAAAGCTTCAAAGACAGTATTCTAAAAGTAATTTTTAAAAAGATGCTTCATTTATAAAATTCTCTTGTAAACAGGATTCTATTTATGCTTAAAATGTGGCTTTTTAAGATACTCAAATATCTTTCAGTCTAGAAACACAATGAAAATATAATCATACATGTCACTTGACACTGAGTTAAAACTCCATCTTCTTCACACATTAAAAATAAGTGACATTACTTCAATAGGTGGCAACAATCAGAACTGCTTGAACTGTTGAAAACTAAGACTCTTGATCATTCTACAGTGCAATGTTCATACACACACACTTAAGAAAGAATGGTACTTATAGGGAGTACAGGAATGAATGGAGGCTCACTGTAGTCAGAAACGCCAGTAAGGCCAGGGACTCATGCATGGTACTCCAAGGCTGCCCCGAAGAGCAAGGCCATCAAGATTTTGACAAACAAGTCTTACAATAATTAAAAAACTAGCTGACCTAGTAACTAGAGCAGCTCCATCCAATGAAAATGTAATGGAAGTTACAATGTGAGCCACATATGTAATTAAAGATTTTCCAAGAGCTACATTAATAAAACCAGGTGACATTTATTTTAATAACACATTTTATTAAACCTACTATAGTCCTGGAGTGGTGCTGTGGGCTTATGCTCTGAACTTTCAGCAGCACATCACCACAGGCCTGTCTTCTGAGGCCCCATGGCTGAGTTGGAACCACCAACCTTTCACTTAGTAGTGAAGCCTCTCACCTGGGGACTCCATAGAAAGTTCACAGTTTAAGAGTTAAATGTTGCAAATATGAAACACATAGTCTAACAAAACTCTAATGACTTCCATGACTTGAAAAGAAGAGCCTTTTCAACCTTAGGTGGAATCCTGAGCCCTATCCAGAACCTTCTGAGATGGGATATTCCACTTGAAAGGACAAGTAGACCAGCCTGGAGCAGCTAAAGGAACAGAAGATACTTCTTGAAAGAAAGAGCAGCAGGAAAAATAAAAAATAAAAACAGTACTCTGATTGGCTACTACAAGAACAAGCAAGTTGTATGCCAGGGAGCCATCGAGGCAAGCATCAAGTCCCTTCAGGACAAACCCCGCTCCAAGACTGAAACTCAAAGGGAACACATGAGCAGGGATGTAAGCCTGCTGGAGACCACGTTGGTAAGTGGAGGAGGGGGAAAGACAGCAATGAAGATATGGGCTGAGTTCGACCACATTCCATACACTCCCGACGACCTAGAGATGAGAGAGAGAAGAGGAAGGGCTGGTTGGTCCAAAGTATGGTGAGACCTGGGGACACCTGAGCCCATGGACAAGGACATAGCCATGGAAGGCTAGAGTTGAGAGCAAAGCACACAAGAACACCCAAATTTACAGACAGTACCTATTTGACCTAGCTTCGATTGCTTCATGATCAGAACTTGATTAGAGGAAGATAAAAAAAATTGTGATAAAGGAAGCAAGTATAAATTGCCACATTTTGATGAACTTGACCTTTACTTATGGATACTGTAGTAGCTCAAAGTACCCAACTGAGAGTGAAGGAGTCTTCACATCAAGAATCAATCCTATCCCCTCTGTACAGAGGGTTGACAGGGACGGGCAACTTGGACATTAGCTACGTAAAATGGGGGGTACTATAAAGGCATGAAGTGACTGGCTTACAAGTTTTCAAGAGGGAGTTTAGTTTCAGAGTGTGCGGGGGAAGGTAGAATCCCCAATTAATAGTTTCCATCTTGTCTAGACAGGTCTGGTGAAAGGAGATGGGGATAAGATTCTTATGATTCAATAGTGAGTAATTATTATTACGACAAATTGTGACTATCACAACTGTAAAGATAGAATTTTTGTAACAAAAAGGGGTAAGTAGTTAATCTTACAGTCCAGGAACACAGGAGCAAGAGAGAAGAGCATGAGGGAATTTGGAACCCTATCTAGAGAAGCAGTGACACCAGAGATGGAGGCAGAGATGATGACATGAAGAGACAGAGTAGCTGAGGACTCTAGACTCATGGAAAGAGAAAGGCTGTGTGCTGACACCCAGGAAGCAGGCTTGCAAAATGTGCCCTTTGGTTCCTTAAATTACTATATATTCCTGAGTGTTTTTGTGTACATCCAAAAACAAACCAAAATAAAACCAGAGGGAATAGAAGCAAATATTGTTGAATGATGATGCATGGAGGGGATTGTAATCATTGCAATGAGAAGATGTGTAAAATCAATGTTTTCCTATGTAAACTATCACTCAATTCATGATAACACAAACAAACAAAAAGAGATAGAAAGAGACGCAGACAGCTTGGTGGTTATGTGACTTGGAGTTGGTTGCGACTCATAGCAATCCTGTATATGGTTTCCGAGACTGAGCTAGTGGTTACTATATGGGGAAGCACATTTAGAGAGGTTTTCAAAAACCTGATTTAAAGTTTCCCAACTAGTCTATCAGGACAAAGTCTATTAGGACATAATCCTAAATCTAAATGTCCTTTCTCCATACTGCCTGCCTTTCTATATCCTTTTTCATCAAACAGTTGAGAAACCACTAATGGTCAACTAACTGTAGTTTTCCATCCTTTCTCTTTACTTGTAAGCCAACTCTCCCTCTGTCTATTCTCCTTCAAAAACAAACCTGGTGTGGCGTGGTGCTGTAGGATAAGCACTGGACCACAGGTCAGCAGTTAAAACCCACCAGTCGCTTCTCAGAAACCCTATAAGGATCGCTATGAGTTCGAACCCACTCAATAGCGCTTAACAATAACAACAACAAGCAAGAAAACTAGCTTTGTTCAGGACAAGTATATTGTTTTCAAATTTCTAGCCATCTTCTTTCTTCCACTAATCATCTCTGATCTATATTTTACATTTTCACTAGTGGCCAGATAAAACCAAAAAATAAAAAAGCATGTCATGGTAAATTAAAAGTCTGGGAAACAGATTTAATTAATCCTAGCACTGACTCTCAAGAAGGTGGGAACAGAGGTTCTAATCTCTATTTTACAGATAAGAAAACCGGCTAGGATAGGTTAAGTGACTTCCCTTGATCTGCTATCTCCAAATTGCAGTACACATGAATCTGACAAGCATATTAATTTGTTATAAAAATATAACAGGACAGGAGGAATAACAACCTGAATAGCCAAGGCTTGTACTTTATAAACTTTCCAAACTGTAACACTAAAAAAAAAAAAAGTATTGTATTTCAAAAAACTTTAACACCTGCAGATGGTAGATGACCTGCTGACAGATGGAGAGCCACCTGAATTCATTCACAATACTATCAAACAACTGTACAGAGATTCATGTCAGCAGAGACTGCTTTGAGACTTGGGGAATGCAGCAACAAGCAGCAGCACCTTGGGTTCACAGAAAAACCGCACCCCATTCTGAAAACCTGGGTTTTAATCCTAGACATAGCAACCAGTGGATGATCTTAAGATATTTCTGAGCCTGGAAAATAATAACAGTAATACTAGGATGCCTACTGTTGTTTGATTTAAGTGAAATAAGACACTTAAAAACTTGTTTTAAATGCTTTGAGCTATACAAGGGAGCTTCAAACAGTTCTTGGCAAATGCCCAGTATCTTTTCATTTCATTTATCTACCAATTTTCTGAAGCTTCGTCATATACAAACCTCAGCCCTAATATCTCTGGAAGCCATTCCCGAGAGGTACATAACATTCTTACTGTGTCCTTCAAATAATGTATGAAGCAGCAGCTTAATTAAATCTTAACTAACAACCCGAATATTTTGTTCCTTAAAATGAACTATTGGTATCAATTTCTTATTTTTTGTAATTACAGTATGGCTAGTTAAGATGCTTTCATTGGACTAAGTTGGTAAATGGGGGGACTCTTATATTTGTAAGAACTTCTATGTGAATACATAATTATTTCAGAACCAAAAGCACAGGAACTGCTGCCCTGAAGAAAACAGTTGAGGACTAGTGTCATCATGGCTCCATGCTGTTAGGGGCTATTGAGTCAATTCCAACTCATAATGGCCCTCCCTATGAACAGAACAGATCACTGCCTGGTCCTGCACCACCCTCATGGTGGTCAGGTTTGAGTCTACTCTTGGTCACTGTGTCAATCCATGTCATTTCCTTCCTTTTGCTGACTTTCCGCCTTATCAACCATTACTGTCCTTCTCCAGCAACTAGTCTCTCCTGACAACATATCCCAAGTACGTGAGACAATGTCTTGCTATCCTCACTTCTAAGGAGCATTCCAGCTCTACTACTCCCAAGTCATATTTATTTATTCTCTGGCAGCCCATAGTTGTTGTTTGTTGCTGTTGTTAAGTACCGTGGACTCAGTTCTGACTCACAGTGACCCTGCATAGGGTTTCCAAAGCTGTAAATCTTTACAGGAGCAGAAAGCCTCATCTTTCTCCCACAGAACAGCTGGTAGTTTCAAACTGCTGACCTTGAGGTTAGCAGCCCGATTCATAACCACTATGTTACCAGAACTCCTTGGCATCCCATAGTACTTCACCCAATATTTTCACCAACACCATAATTCAAATGCATCAATTCTTCTACAGTGTTCCTTATTCATTTTCCAATTTTCAAATGCATAAGTGATTAAACATACCATGGTTTGGGTCAGACACACTTTAGTCCTCAAATTGGTATCTTTGCACTTTAAAGATATGTCTAATGCTATACATGGTCTGATCTCTTAACTGCTGCTTCCCAGAGTATAGATTGTCTTGGACGACTTCAATCTTTCCTGTTTATTATGATTTACTGGCCCAGAATCCTGGTGTCATGCTGTAGGATAAAGCATTGGACCGCAGGGTCAGTTTGAAACACAAGGTTAGCAGGTCAAATTCACCAGTCATTCCTTAGAAACCCTACACAGGGTCGCTATGAGTCGGAACCAACTCAAGGGCACTTAACAGCAACAGTTATTGGTCCAGTTGTGAGGACTCTTGTTTTCTTAATACTGAGGTGCAAGGCATACTGAAGGCTGCAGTCTTTGATCTTCATTAGTAAATATTTTAAGTCATCTCTGCTTTTAGCAAAGCAAGATTGCGTCATTTCCATATCTCAGGTTGTTAATGAGTCTTCCTCCAGTCCTAAAGTCACATTCTTATTCACATAATCCAATTTCTCAGATTATTTGTTCAGCATCCACATTAACTATGATGAAATGATACAACCCTGGTGCACACCTTTCCTGATTTTACATCATTCAGTATCCCCTGATTCTTCAAGCAACTGCCTTTTGGTTTATGTACACGTTCCTCATTAGCGTAAGTAACTATCCTGGAAAAACCAGCTTTCACAATGTTATCCACAGTTTGTTATGATCAGGACCCACCAACTGCTCCTCGGAAACCGTATACAGGGCGTCTCTATGAGTCAGAACTGACCCGATGGCACTAACAACAACCATGTGCTGCAGGAGTCCTGGTATAGCACTATGGGTTAATGCACTGGATTGCAACATCAGTTTAAACCGAAATGTCAGCTGTTCAAACTCACCAGTCGCTCCTCGGAAACCCTCAACAGGGTCCCTGTGAGTCAGAATTGACTCAATGGCACCTAACAACAACATGCTGTAAAAAGTCCTGGTATGGTACTGTAGGATAAGCACTGGACTGCTAACCACAAAGTTAGCTATTCAAACCCATCAACTACTCCTTGGAACCCTATACAGGGTCATCATGAGTAACCCTTAACAACAACGTGCTGTGGAGTACTAAAATTCCAGCACATTACAATATGAGCATCAGTAGATGAAACAGAAATGAATAACTAAAGAGAGAGTGGAGGTGGGGGTTAACGTCAGCCTGCTAAACCACCAATTCACTTACAACCCAAAGAGAAGCAACTGTGAAAGGCCACACACAAAAACAATCCCCAACTTATGTCATAAAGTGACCCAGGAAACAGTAAGTCCCAACTCCTTCTAGGATGATTTTGTCACCAGTCATTTTATAGCGTTAAGAGTCTAAGTGAGAATATTAATTTTTTTTAAAAAAAGGCTACTTTGCTTGCTTCAGCAACACATAATACTAAAAAACTGGAACAATACAGAGATCAACATGGCCCCTGCGCAAGGATGACACGCAAATTTGTGACGTGTTCCATAAAAAAATTAAAAAGGTCACTTTACAAAGCAACATTATACCTAATGTATCTTAATTTGGAAACATAAATGGTGATTTAACTTCAACACAATATAAACTTAAATCTCATTAAGGCCAGAACACAAACCTGCTATGAACTGTTTTGGCTTAGGCTCATCTCCTTGCCCCTCTAGCTTTTCCCATCTCACAGCCTCTGGCTTTTTCATTTTAATTTCAATCTGTGGAAAACATCAAATAAAATCCATTATTTAGTGCAAAATACACAAAGGAGTTTGAAAATGCAATTTTCTTAAGTCATCAAGCTTCTATAGCATCAATAGTGTCCTTGACATTGTTTCTTTAAATTAGATAAATGTGAAAAACTATGAAACATTTATCTCGGTTTCCACACTTAAAATTCACCCTTCAAACATAATATACTGTAAACTGCAATTAAGTAGATTCTTGAAATCCATGCTTTTATCTTATAAACTCTGTACTGGGGCCAATTTAGCCTTCCAGGGGACATCTAGAAAAGCCCACAGACATCACTGGTTGTGACAACTAGGCTGGTGGTAGGGCGGGGAGTACACGGACAACAAGCAAGTCAGGGCCAGGGCCAGGGCCAGGGATGCTACTAAACATCCTACAATGTATAGCAAGGAAGTCCTTCACAATAAAGAATCAGCTAGCCTAAATATCAATAATATCACCACTGAGAAATTCTGTTCTAAAGGGACTACTGTATTTGCATGTGGACTAACCAGTTTTAGAATGGGAAATTTTTCATTGTAAAAAAAATGCTAATATTTTCACAATCATTCATTCAACCAAAAAAACCTCACTATGAGCAAGGTATTGTCTTCAGGTCTATGGGAGGCTTGGAAAATATTAAAGACACTATGAGAGATGCTTGAAGAATGTTACTCAATAGACAAAAAAATGTGCTAAGACTAGAGAAGATATCATACCAGGCTGCAAAGAAAAAGATTTCAAGGCACCTTGAGAAGCCCTGAGAGGTAGAAAAATTTGCAAGAGTAGAAGAAGGTTTCCAGAGGCAAACAAAATGGCCTACAACTAAAGGGCACCGTGTATTAGGAAGGCATGAGAAGGTCAATTAGCCTCTAGTCCATGATTTACATTACAGCAGTGAAAAATACTACCACTCATCTGTCAGTTTGTCGTACTGTGGTGGCCTATATGTTACTGTGATGCTGGAATCTGTACTAACAGTATTTTAAATACCAGCAGGGTCACCAAAGGTGGACAGGTTTCAGCTGAGCGCCCAGACTAAGAAAGACTAGGAGGGAGGAAAGGCAGACAAGTTCTGAATAGTTAGTCACTGAAAACCTTATAAATAGCAGTGAAACGTTGTCAAATATGGTGCCCTAGAAAATGAGGCCCTCAGGTTGGAAGGAACTCAAAATATGAGTGGGGAAGAGCATGATATGGATGGAATAAGCTTTCAGGACCTTCAGTTGCTGATGTGGTACAACTCAAAAGAAACAGCTGCAACATATATCATTCGAACATGGATTGTAAAAAGTACGAATCTAAGAAAATTGCAAGTTGTCAAAAATGAAATGGAATACATAAAAATCGATATCCTAGGCATTAAGGAGCTGAAACAGATTGGTATTGGTCATTTTGAATCAGATAATTATATAGCTTACTATGCGAGGAACAACAAATTCAAGAGAAATGGAGTAACATTCATCAACAAAGAGAACATTTCAGCTTCTATCTTGAAGTACAATGCAGTCTGTGACAGGATTACATCCACACACCTATAGGACAGGGCAGTTTATGCTACTATCATTCAAATTTATGCATCAAACACAAGTCAGTGATGATGAAATTCAAGAAATCTACTAACTTCTTCAGTCTGAAATTGATCAAACATGCAGTCAAGATGCATTGTTAATTACTGGTGATTGAAACTGGAAAGTTGGAGACAAAGAAGGACTCATAGCTGGAAAATATGATCTTGGGTAAAGAAATGATGCTGGAGGTCGCATAATAGAATTCTGCAAGACAAGTGACTTATTCAGTGACATACTTTTTCTTAACAACATAAAAGGAAACTATACACATGGCCTCACAAGAATTATATAGACTACATCTGTGGAAAGAAACAACAGTGACGCGTAATACTATCAGTCAAAACAACCCTGCAACAGGACATCGATTGCTCATTTACAAGTTCAGGATGAAGCTGAAGAAAATTAAAACAAGTCCACGAGAGCCAAAATATTACTTTGAGCATTTGTTGTTAGGTGCCATCGAGTCAGTACCGACTCATAGCAACCCATGCACAGCACAACAAAAACACTGTCCGATGCTGGGCCAACCTCACTACTGTAGCCACGCTTGAGTCCACTGATGCTGCCACTTGGCCAATCCATCTTGTTGGGGGGGGGGGTTTCCTTTTTTCCCTGACCCCCCCAACCTTACCAAACATGATATCCTTCAAAGGGAAGCTCAAGAAGACAAAGTCAAGCATGCAAATGAAATATACAGAGACCTGGAGTTAGAAAACCAAAAAGGAAAAATATGCTCAATATTTCATAAGCTGAGAGAACTGAAGAAAACATTCAAGCTGTAGGATAAACACTGGACCGCTTATCTGCAAGGTGAGCAGCACAAACCCACTAATTGCTCCTCGGAAACCCAATACAGGGTTGCTATTGAGTTAGGACTGACTAAATGACACTTAACAACAACAATGGGTAGAATATTGAACAATGCTGGAAACATCAAGAGAAGATGATAGAGATACACAGTCACTGTACCAGTTAGAATGGGTTTGTGCTCATCCATTACAAGAGGTAGTGTCTGATCAAGAACTGATGTACTGGAGGAAGAAGATGCAGCAGCACTGAGGGCACTGGTGAAAAACAAGGCTCCAGGACCTGACGGACTACAAACTGAAATATCTCAACAAACTGATGCAGCACTAACTCACTTGTCTACGTCAGACTGGAAGAGACACATATTTGTCTTCATTCCAAAAGAGGTGACACAATAATATGCTGAAATAAAAGAATATCATCAATATTACATACAAGTAAAAGTATGCTGAAAATAATTTTAAAACGATTGCATCAGTACACTGACAGGCAGCTTCCAGAAATTCAAGCTGAATTCAAAAGAGGACATGGAGACTTCTGTGGACCCAGTTGGGGACCCGGTTGGCAAGCAATGTGAAGAGACCTGGGGACTCTTGGGCCCAGAGTCAGTGGCGTGGCTACGGAGGACTCAAGAGGAGAGTGGAGCTACCGGCTAACGGGAAGAGAGGACATATGCACAGGAGCGCCCACACTTGCAAATGATACCCACGTGACCTGGACCGGATGACTGGACGATCGGAGCTCAACCAGCAGAGGAAAGAAGAGGGAAGAAAAA